CTGGTTATTCCCTAACAAACCTCAAGCTGAGTAGACCTTATACATCCAGTCTATCACCCGCATCTCATTCTGATACATAGCCCAAGTCTATGCAACAGCAAATAAATGTTTGGGGAAGGAGTAAACTCTGGCATAAGGGTGTGGGCTTCAGTTTGTGGACCAGATGGTGTGTTCTGCTGTTGAAAGGCCGTATGTAATTGATACATAAAGTGACAGACTGAAGCAAAAGCAAAGTAAGTATTTTAAGACAAGCAGTTAAAAAAAGAAGGCAGAATGTGACCCCAAAAATGTGCTAAGATTTTGGCTCCTGGCTTTTGGAAGAGCTGGAGACATTGGTGAGTAGGCAGGATGTCAAAAAAGAGCGTGTCAAAGAATAGTAACGGAGTCATGGGCTCAGATAATTTTTAAAGATGAAATTGCCTTCTGTCAATTGGGATGGCTTGAGTTTCAGATGGGTTGGCCTTTCTTCCCTTTACTTCTCCCCAAACCCCCCAAGGCTCAATTCTCACATCAAAACAGTTGGGATCTTGTCTAGGTTTAGATAATGTTCCCCTTGTACCTTTCAGAAAGCAAGAGAGAATACAGGCATTCAATGGAAATAATAGATGTTTCAATAGAACAAACAGAAAAGCTCCGCCCCTTTTTAAGTCAGGTAGGTGTATATAAGTGTGCTCATATACATGTGAAAACACGTGCCTTCACGGAGCATGACAAGTGGAGATCATGGTCAAGTGTGTGCCAAAACGGGGATCTCTGGCTGTAATGAAGAGCTGGTGTTTTGACGTATAGATTTCTTGAGGGAGCCAATGAGAAAGTTAGCTGAGATAACCTCTGTCTAGGGAAGTGAAAAAAGAAGCCAGCAATTATTTCAGAGGGTTAGAGAAGCCGTTTCTTTTTATGGGATACTGTCTGGAAGAATAGCCTGTGCCTGGCTTTCTCGGAAATGGCAACACATTTTCCTCTTTGGGAAGGCTGTAACAGAACACAAGGAGGCTGAAGCTATATGACACAAATGAAGTGGAACTTGGGTAAAAATGGAATCAGTGTAGACTGCCAATTTAGCTAACTTTGGGCCTTTTAAAATCTCAATTATGCAAATCAGCCAAATCTTTCCCTCGCTTTGTGCTGTTTAGACACACGTACAGTTTTGTGAGAACTCTAATGATGTAGTCACCTGGAGGTGAAGAGGGTCTCACAGTTTTATAGCTCAAATGGCTTCTCTAACCCTCACACAGGAGAAGCACAGAAGGACCCAGAGGTAACCTCCTGCAGCAGGAAATGGGAGCTTCATCCTGCTCCCACTGCCAACCTCCTGTCCCGGTTTCCTCCCAGCAGATATCTCCATTCCAATCTTCCCTGTCACTTTGGCTCTCTCACTGTCGCCATTCAACTGTTCTGAGAAAGATGCACTAACTAGGCTTGGACAGCGGGAGCCTGGCCTGGTCATTAACTGGACAGCACAAGAAAAGGGCAAAACAAAACAGTTTTTCAGAACCAAACAACCACAACACAACAACAAAGAGACATGTTTAGTTTTACATAAGGAGATTGTATACACATACAGACACACACACACATGCACACGCACACACACACATATATGTATCCGTTTTGTTTCCTCAGTCAGAGTATAGACAAGATAATTGCTTGGCCACATCAGTGAAATCATTCAAACCTAGAGTGGCCCAGAATTTCTGGTTCTAAATGATTCGTCAGTGCTAGGCATGATAAGGAAGGGTGGGGAAATAGACTGCGTAATTGCTTCAATTCTCCGCTTCCCTTTGCATATGTTCGTTATTGAGAATCAATGCCAGTTTGAGAGGAGGCTTTAATTCCTTGTAAATGAATAGGAAGCGAGTAAGTAAATGTTCAGTGTTTTCCTCAAATTATGTCCCGTAATGTAAGAAAACAGTGGCAAAAAGCCATCAACAGATGGTGTTTTCATTAGCCAAAGATTTATTTTTCAAAGCATTTTCATATTAATGAAGTAAGGTTGAAATTAGAGTCATCTTGTCAGTTCTAGTTCTGTGTTGTTAAAATGTGCTGGCATTCTGCAAACTGCTAGGGGGCCAGAGCAAAATAACCATTTGCCATAATTTTGTGATGGTAACCCAAGGTCCATAGTCTAACCAGACCCCAAATTATGTGTTCAGCCTTAATTTTTGTTTTCAGTGGCTTTACAGAAGCTGTGAGTCTCAGTTGTGGGCCATAAATGAGGAACACACAGCAGGGATCTTAGTCCTGCTCCGCACTATGAATTATTTATAAGATATCAGTTTCATGACAAGTGTTGCAACAGGTTGCATATACTTTGGAAAACATTCTCCCCGTGGAATCCCATGTTTGAATGGAAACACACTACAGTTTGAAACACAGATTTCTAGTATTTTCTTTGAGTTCATCAGTCTACATTATATTTACCTAATATGTCAATATGGTCATTTGTGATCTGTGGATTTCCATTGATCTAGGAATCTGAACCACTCTGCTAGAGGAAATCACAAACTGATTGGATCCATTAACAGTGTCCACTCTCTAACTTAAGCTGGACCCTTTCATCAAACTACAGCTCTATCACAGTCGCCTTATGGCCAAATTTCTGAAGAGGAGTCCAGACTTATAGCCTCCACATTGACTATGCTGACATAAAGGTCACCAGTGACCTCTAATTACCAAATCCAGCTGCCTTTTATCAGTCCTCATGTTTCTTGCATTCTCTGCGTATTTGACAGCGACAAATCCTTTCTTGAAACATGTTTCTCTCAATTATCCTCTTAGCTTGGCCCAGACCTGCATTACCAACTGCCTTGAATATTGCAGCCTCCTCCTAACCAGTGTCCCTGCCCCCAGGCTCTCCTGTTTCAGTCTGCCCCCACATATTGCTGGTAGGTTGATCTCATAAATGCAGCCCCGATTATGTCATTATCTTGCTCAAAAGCCTTTGGTAAGCCCCCACTGCTTAAAAAAAAAATAGTTACAAACTCCTTACCTAGGCATTCAAGACCTTCATAACAGGGCTTCGATATCCATTTCCAGCCTTGTCCCCCACTACTGTCTTGTACCCTCTGTTTTAGTCAAACTCAATTTATGTTCCCTGAACATGTCCTTTACTTTATACCCTTTTACTTTTGCTTGTGCTATCCTTGTGCCTATAACACACTGCCTGCATCCATCTCTGTCTATTAAAATCCTACTTATCCTTCAACATCCATCTTAATTTCACCTCTTCTTTATCTCTGAAGTCACTGCACCTTGAACAGAGTAGGTGCTCAATACCTTTTGTTGTATTAAATCTCTGAACTGCCATTTCTTTTTTTTCCCCTGACGTCTACCTAGCTTAGAGATCATGTCCAAATCAATGATTGCTACCCTTTTTTTCCTTCGTCCCTCTCTTTGTCCTTGCTAAGGAGAAGGCCACAGATTGAGGTGGTCTTGGAGTTAAAGAAGGCCAGGGGAGACACTGTGCCCAAGCCAAGAAAAATGGAATAAATAGTGAAAAATCACTTTCATGGGAATAAAGCCAAAGAAACTGAGAGAGATCTGGCAAGAAGGGAAGCAAAGATTAACCTGGTTCTCATAATCCAGTTTGAGAACAAGTGAGATCAGACTGTCCATCCTAGAAATACATATCCATGGGAATACATCCTCCGGGATAGATTTATGGGATAGTGCCAAGGATACTAAGGAGCCATAGCTACTTAGTAGTAGAGAAAGAGGCCAAGTACATGAGTCCTCTCCCTCTTCCCCACTCTTCGATGCCCCCCTCATCCTCCCTACCAAAAACATGAACTTTGAACAACAACAAACCACAGGAACCACGGAGACGGCAATGAAGCAATGAACACGACCAAGGGAAGGAATGCCAGCAGAATAAGGGCCAGGAATTTGGGGTATTACATTTGGAACAGATTTTGTGGGAGTGTTGGGGTGGTGAGTGAGAGAGGAGTGGATATTGGGGCATGTCCTCGAGGAGAAGCAGCCCTCAGGGCTGAAGACTTGGGAATGCGGCGGAATAAAAAAGCCCATTATCAATCTAGAGTGAATAACGTTCTATTTTTTCATATAAGGAATGAGAGAGAGTAGCTTGCTCAACTGAAAATATGCTGAGTTTTGAGTACTGTTAGAACTACGTTATGTTAAACAGACGTGCAAAATGCTTCTAATGAGTACCTAAAAACGTTATGCACCAGTAAGCAATGGTAAGCAATGGATGTCCTATCTTGATACAGCCAGGCTTTGCGATTTGAAGTCTGGCATCTCCATGCGCTATTAAGTGCCCAAGAAGGGAAGCTACGATGCTAGATTTTAATGACTCGCACACTTAAAATATCGTCTTTTTTTGTGAAGGAACCTACTGATAAATATCAAAGTTATCAGCAGAAAGACAAAAGAATCATGGAATACTGGGGCAAAGCTGTGAATAAGGGCTAGAGACCTGGGTTCCAGTCCTAGCTTTGCCACATACTAATTATATGACAGTGCAAAAACACTTTACCCCACTCTGAAGCTCAGTTCTCTCATCTGTAAAATGCTGACATCGCCTACTTCATGGGTTGTGATGATTATTAAATGATATATATGAAATTATCTAGCATAATGTCTGGCAATTGCTCAATAAATTATCACTTTCTTAGTCTATTGATCTGTAAAAGAGAGAATAATACCTGTTCTCCCTATGTCACAGGGTTACTATGAAGCCAAAATGACATATTGACTATGAAATACTTTAAAAAGTTAAAAATATTATAGAAAACATAAAGTTGCTTTAATGTCATTAAATTCCTACATCCACAAAGTCATCTTTTCCCCAATAATGACAATGTGGAGCAAATGTACAGCATTATTAATTAGCACCTAGAACAGTTGCTCCATAGCAAGTACCCAATGAATCTTTGAAATATGTGTTGATTGACTGACCTCCACATGATACCGGTTCTCAAGCTCACTGAACATTTGTTCTTTTTTCTCCCCTCTTCCCTGTTTCCTCTCTGCGATGGCAGCAAACTCTGGAGATGAATCTCACCAACCTGGTTAAGCGCAACAGTGAACTAGAAAATCAAATGGCTAAACTAATACAGATCTGCCAGCAGGTTGAGGTACGTGACAGAAACATTTGTGATTCTTTCAGAGGACCTGGACTGGGCAATTCTTTGGGGGCACTTGAGTTTTGTCAGAGTGTAACTCAGCCATTTGGAGTGAAGGATTGAATGGTAGTTCTAGGAAGTCTCATTCCTTTAGGATGCTTGTTCCAAGAAAAGTGGCGGATAGATATTGTTAAGGAAAATAAATAGGTGGTGGTAATGGGTCGGGGAGACAATAGTCCAAGGGCCAATCCCTCCTCCTTTCCATAAAGCAGGCAGTATGAGAATCCGACATGAAATGTATTTCTTCATTCAGCAAACTGAACATCTTAGCTCCTTAAAGAGATTGCTGGACTGTCAGGGAAGTTGGGAATCCTGGGTCCTTGGGGTGGGGTGAGGTTCGTTCAGTGCAATATTGTTTCTGTAACAGTATCATCAGGACTGCTGCTTCTCTTCCTAGCCTCTCCTCCCTTCGTCCCCATGCACCTTACTAGTCTTCACTCATCACCTTTCCACTTATTCTTGTCAGCAACAAATGATGTATATGTTAAAGTTGCTTGTGAATTATAAAGTGTCATACAAGTATAAGGTTTTCCAGATTTTTCACCAACATAGGTTAGATTTAACGTAAAATCTCAGAACAGAACTTACAAGAGGAGTCGACTTCTTCATAAGTGGATGTAATAAAAGAAAGTTATTTTTCTCCCTTTCTTGAGAGCATGAAACTTCAGCTGTAGCATTTGGTTTTGTGTTGATTTTGTTGAAGAGGTGATGGTAGGGATTAAAGTGTAGACAGGGTCGGGTAAAATATTATAGGACTCCTCATGGGCAGTAGTTTGATAAAAATGTTTCTAATTCTATTTACAACCTGATAGTCTAGTTCTAATCTTACCTGTATGACAGATAAGTGTAATGGTTCAAATTTATTTTATTTTAAGCAATAAAATAATTTTATTAAGATCTCATCTTTTAATCCCACCTGGGGTTTCCTCTTTTAAGAGTGTGTGGAGAATCTTCTCATAAAGCAAAGAATCTTCTTATGTGAGTAACCAGTCCTGATTGTTTGGATTTCTTAAAGTAGGGTATACTTGTATGATGGGCATACCATAGCAATTTAATCCCTGCTGGGCACTCCATTTGTGGAAGAGAGTGGTACTGTATGTAGGGTACATAGTATACCCATTAAACTCAGGTGTGAGATTGTGGAATGGGGTGGGGAATTTACGAAGAAACATGAGGAATGGAAAGAAAGAACACTGGAGTATAAGGTGGAAAATTGGGTTCTGGACTTGACTGCTTTTAACTGGTAGTATGAACTTGAGTAAGTCATTTAGCCTCTCAGCTTCAGTATCCTTACCTTATAAAATGAGGGGTTTCACTGACTACATAACCTTTGATGTCTCTTCCAGATTTCACAGATCATGATTCTGTGAATGGTTACTTTCTTTATTCTCTTCTTTTTCTCTTTGGTCTCATCCTTTCCAAGAGGGAGAAAGAAAACAGAAGGCATTTTACAGTGGTTTTCAGCTAATCAGAGTCCCTCTGTGTTCCACTCTATCAAACCTTCTGATTATGCTGTTAGATTACAGTTTAAGAAACCCACACTGGTGAAAAGACAAGGAAGTATTGTAAGCAGGAGACAAGATAAGGAATCCCTTGGTTTAAAATTTGCATGATTGAGGGTGGGGTAACAGCCAATAGTGAATAAAACGTGGTTAGAAATTATAATCATCATCTTCCTCATTCTCATCAACAAGACTATTAAGTATAGAGCAAGCTGTAGTCAAATTAGCAAAGTAAGCAGTTTATTTTCATGGCTTATTCACTTTAGGACCTCTCTAACATCTTATCATCCCACCCCTGGGAAGCTTATCGCTCTAGCCAGCCTCACCCAAACATAGCAATCTTCCAACCTTTCCCAGTCCATTGCACCAATCAACGCTTTATAGTCAGGGCCCTGCTCTTTTCAAGTGGCAAGGAGCTAGTCTCATAAAACAATGCATCATTGTGTGGTGTTTTAACAGTGCCTTTCTGAAGTTAATATTCCTGCTGGAGCCTTCAGGACATGACACTAGTGCTGCCAAATATAAGCAAAGTAGGAGGGAAGAGCAGCCCCACGATGAACCAGCAAAGGAGGTGTTTAAGAGGCTCCCTTAGGGATGCTTGTTAAATCCAGCGTGTAGGCCACTGTCTGCTCTGGCCCAGAAAAGGTCACCTTTTACTAACACTTATTTATGCATGGCATTTTACCAGGTACAAAGAAAATGGCATAGACACAGTATCTACCCTCAGAGGGCTTACACGCTACACAAATCCACCCTGATGTGGATACACATGTGCAGGAAATATAGACAACAGAATAAAAATGAATCATGAGATACTGCATTACATGTCAAGGGTGAGAGTGTATTTTGGGAGTTAACTCCATAGTCTATTCAGTTTAGAATTCTATCTTTGACAGCGGCCCTACAGAATGGTTTATGGAAGACCATGGCTGTGCTCTATGATATCATTCCTTCTGAAAGGTTAGGGATGTGCCCTAAACTTCCCCGTAATAATAGGGTGAATCCAGGGTACTTATTATGCTCGTTCGGCACAGAGCCTGTGTGTCCAGAAGGCTTCAGGACAAGCCCTGGGATTACACATGCAGTTAAAGAAGGGACTTGAGACTTCATAAATGCTTATAAATACTTGAAAAAATGAAATAAATACTATGATACTGTTTGTCATGAAAGCCAGACACTGAAGGGTGATTTGAATTTTTTTCATTTTATTGCATCCAGGTTTGTCTATAGAGAATGACTATATTCACAGTATAAACCAGGCATTTCACACCGGGCAGGGGTGGAGGATACCAGCTAAGGCACTTCTGAGAAAACTGGAATAGGTTATTTTCCTGCCAAACCTGTTCCCTTTCCTTATTGTCTGCAAATGTTTTTGTCACAGATTGACTTTTCATAAAGGGGCCATAAATACTGCCTCCTTCTTCTGGTTATTTCTCCCTGTTCTCTATTCTCCTCAGAAAGTAAACAAAGCTGCAGTCTTCCTATTATTACAGAAACAAAGATTAGGATCACCACAGAGTTGTTAGCTGAATTCTTTAGTAATACAGCCTGTTATAGGTGCTGCCCAGCCTTCAGAATTCAGAGGGTAGGCAGTTGGGAAATATTTTCTGTTGGGGCTGGAGAGCATGGGAAGGAGGGAGAGGCAGACCCAAGACTCCTTTATTCTGGCTAAGGAAGGGCCTGCTTTGACCTTGCTGCTCTGGCCACTTGATCTCTATATATAGTTCTTTGTCCTGTCTCATCAGGCATCCTTTGTTTACATTTCCAAAGGAAATCTCTGTTTAATGCATAACCAAGGGAAAATGTATACCAACAGATGAATATTTCCTCTTGGCTTCCAAGACTGCACGGTTTTAAGAATAATAAGCATTCCTAAAAATATTGAGGGGAAGAAAAGTAGTTAAATACTTAGTAATCAGTCAGTCAATAACATTTCTTGAGCAAACACTATGTACTCAGTGTGGTGGGCAATTTGCAGGCTACAAAAGAAGCATACGTTGTTGATGGCCTCTAGGAACTTTTAGTACAGCTAGGGAAAACACAGTATTGAGTGCGAAAGAGGAGTATTTATAAAGCAGCATGCAGTCCAGGGAGTAGAAATGAATGTAGTGTAGCCCTTCCATTTTTGCTTACTTAGTCTTGTTAACTTTTAGGGCACTGAGCATATTAGAGCACTTTCCTGGATATTTGGTGTGCCCCCAGTTTTCCTCTCCTCCAGAACTGCTGCAGTGCAATGGGTTAGTCTACCCCACAAACTCCATGGGCAGATTGATTTCTTCCTGGCTCTTATCAAGCCTTTTAAGGGGCTGGGTGGCTCTGCTCTTTAGTGTTAAGAGAGAGAAGAAAGAAAGGAGATGAGTTGAAAGCGAGGGAGAGACTTCCCTTAGTTTGGGGAATTTCAGCTTTCTGTCTTGCCACCAGGTCATAACTTCAGTAGCTTTCAGAAGTCTTTCTCCCAGAGTTCAAACTGTAGGTGGCTTGCTGTTCTCTCCTTTCTGCTCCTGTTCCTCACTGTGAAAGGCTATTTTATTTGGCAAGGGCAAGAATTGGTGTCTGACTGCTTCTCCAAGCATAAAAATAGGTGTTTTCACAGAAATTAATTTTTAAAAAAGCCACTGCTATGGATGATTCCAGCAGATGATCCTTACCTTTTAGAGTAGTTGAGCTGGAATAAAGAATAGAATCTAAATCATTACGGCACGAATATGTTTGTTGGAAGGGTCTTTTACAAGCACCGAGGGCATGAGAAAATGAAGAAGTGATTAGAGTGAAGTAAGTGTGATCAGGGAAAATTTAATGGAGAAAATGCATTTTAGGCAAATGTTGAAGGAGGAAAAATAAATTACTTCCTCTGTTGAGACAGAGAGCAGAGGTCTTAGTGGAGATGGAAATGAGCAAATTGTTTGGGCAAAATGGTATGCTACGCACTTGGGCATACACTGGGTATATAGAAATAAATAGGAACTGGTCCCTGCCCTCAAGGAGCTTACCCAGACAGGTAAAATGTCAAATATAATGTGAAGTAATAATTACTGTAATGAAGGTAAGTGTAAGATGACAAGCTAGCGTAGAGAAAGAAACACCTAAGTCTGCCTGAGGGACTTAGGACAGACTGTAGAATGGAAATAAAAATCAAGTTATCTTGAAATAAGAGTAGAATTTTGCGAACAAAAATGAGATAAGGGACTGAAGGGGGTCACATGCAAGAACACAAAAGGGTAAGCAGCATAGAGGTGTTCAGGAAACCACCAGAAGTTTGGTTCAGCCAGAATGTGAGATGTGAGAATCGCTGCAAGAAGTGAGTGTGGAGAAGTAGCTAGGGGCTAGATGAGGAAGGGCCTTGTATACCATGCACAGGGGTTTGGACTTAATCCTGAAGACTTCGGGGAGCCTTGGAAGGATCTAAAGCAGGTGAATAACTGGATCAGATCTGCATTTCAGGATTGCTCT